AAAGTTACGATTCTCGGTAACTTTCCTCTGTAAACGTTACCGTTGAATGTTGGATTCCGAGATATTCGTAGAAATATATTTGACAAGCGTCTAATGATTTTATTACGTTCAACCCCTTGTCTTATGATAAAGCGCCAGATTCATGATGAAAATTTTAAACCGAATTTGGTAAGTATACGTATCACCCGATTCTTGTGAATTCCAATTAAATATTATTCCTCTGTTATCAATTATTCTAGAATAAACGTAGATATAGAATGACCCCAGAATTTTTCTCTTTTTTTTCAATAAATTATCGATGGCGAAATAGTCAAGAATAAATCGTAGGATAAGGGGTTAATATCTATAGAGAAAATTTGTTCAAAATCACTTCTTGGACAAAGTATTTCAACCTCATTAGAATCTGTGAGCCTTTTTATAATTACCAAATCAACTTCCGCATGCGCTCACCGCTCGTCTCGAATGGCACGAACCGATCCCCCTAATCTTACACATTTTAATGGCTCCTTTACGCCTATATACATCATAATTCGAAAAGCAAAATCGAATGACCATTTCAGTTCCAATCGGACTCTTGTCGAGCGAATAATGTCAGTCTGTTTCTTTTGATCATCAACAATCCTGAATATTGAATCTGTCACGGCCGTTCGATCTTGTTCCGCGTGACCGTTGCGTGCCGTTCGAAACTTTTTGCCCCTGCGTCCCTTCCATCCAGTCTATACGCGCACGTCAGCCGTTTTATCTATGCAACAATAACTACCGACTATATGTACAACGAGTCGCTAATGCAGCCGTCAATCACAACCGGAAACAAAAAACCGAAGGCGAGCTAGTTCCAATTTTTTCTTTTTGGGTGATGAGTGGAGATGGTACTGGCGCGAGAGAGAAAGATAGACAGGCAGATAGGTAGAGACAAAGAGAGAGAGAGAGAGAGAGATAGAAGGAGAGAGAAGATTATGAAGATTAGACAGTAATATGACGGAAAACGTCCAGCCTCGAGAATTAAATAATGTGGCACTGTTTGCTGGTGAATCTCGTTCCACCGACTCGGAGTGTCTATCTGAATTATAGCAGGTTATCGGAGGGTGGGGTTGAAGTAGATGACATGGCACGCTGACTGTCAAGTATCAATTGGCCAATACAATAATAATTATAATTTACTTCGACTTCTGATATGCCTCGAAATAATTACAATAAGGAGACTCGTAATTAGATAATAATGTAAGAATTATTCGTTAAATTATTCATACTTGTTTCTAATACCATTTATCTTTGCCATGAAAGAATAAATGTGTAACATACAGAACGCTCGAAATTCTAGTGACAGTCAGCGTGACAAAGATTGAGGAGCGGGCGGAGGAGGTGCGATTGAGCCGTTCATCTTATTAAAAATGATTAATTCTAGAAGATAAGAAGTAGGAAAACATACTTAAATTACGTAGGCTAAGATTTAAATAAAATTCCGTAAGTTCAGTACTAAAAGTTAACAAAATTTTAAAAGTGGAATTGATCAGTTCGCTAATGAACGGCTCAATCGGCGAGTCCCCTCGACGCGGAACGATGACGCTTTCTCACATTTCTCTCGCGATACGAACAATGACCCTCGTCGAACGAAACGTCACGCTCGACGACGAGCGCTGAGAATACGAAAAGGAGATGATATGGACCGCGTGACAAAATCTGTATACGTATATATATATATATTACATGGAAATACTATAAAGTAGAGCGAATCCGAGAGTAAAAATAAATACATACGCATGTCCCGTCGGATGCCGACGACGGTTCGCCGTAAACGAATAGAAGAACCGATTGACAATTAACATACATCTGTATACGCATGTGATCGCTTGCATTAGGTAATATATTAATATTGTACCTTGAACGATATGCGGACGCTCGACGTAAAAAACAAGGAGGGAATGAACGGGAAATACAGAAACAAAGAAAGAGAGAGAGAGAAAGAGAGAGAGAAAGAAAGAGACAGAGAGAGTGGAAAGGAGAAATAAGGAAATCGTTTCGCTCTCTTTGTTTTGTACGTAAAAGACGATCGACGCGGCTCGCGGGATCGTTCGACGGGTAGACATACTTTTCAGGCTCGAAACAGATGGACGACTTTTTGCCAGCTCCGCGACTTTCTATTGTTGTATTACATCACAGCAATATCACACCGATAACGCCGGGTCTATAGACGCGAGAGGAAATGATAAGAACAAAATGGCAAGAAGTCACAATGCTGATAAAAAATATAGCTTGTCCGACGTTCGTCGACGACGACCCGTCACACCGCGGGCGACAAAGGAATCGTGAACACAGGCAGGAGAGTTTACAATGTAAATTTCGTTTTTCCCTGGAAATTAGTTATTTTTTCGTTCCTTTTTATGTTCTACACTTAACCTTTCGCTTTTTGCACGATCACGCGATTTTTTCTGCGAACTCGGTCGGTCGACCAACGTGACGTTCGCTCGCCACGGGACAATCGTTGTGCCTCTTCGTCGGTGTTCGTTCGCGAGGTCAGTCCCGAAATTTCGTTGTTTCAACACGTTCGCTACTACTGCTTACGATGCTTCGTGCATTTATGAGGAGACCGACGTTTCGGGAAGCAATTGTCGATTTGATAAACGAAACTGTTTATTTGTCCCGTAGTGTAAAGGAAGGATCAGCCGATTACGCTGATTTTTGTCACGGTTATAATCGTCTGCTGCAATGTATCGCATCGAGGAACTTAAAATGATGATGACTTAAAATGACACGGAATCGCATGAACTCGTTTGATTACCTAATACTTTGGAAGTTAGCGACAAACGTTGTTTGCCGCGATACGAATGCTCAGTGAATATTCCACTAAGATGTGTCCATTGCGAGAACAGCTACAGAGAAAATAGTCAATGACGAATTTCGCCTATTTGAACAAGGGATCAACGAGACACTGAGCAATCGTCCCCTTTTCCATGAAGATTTGCTACGTGTATACAAGAGGAAGTGTTGAAATCAAAATTCAAAGTACACGTGTAATCAGATAGCGAACCACGCGTTCGCCATTTAGAATGAACAAAGTCAATGCGTTTGAAACTTAATCTTGCTATTTGTGCTTGAGTTTGCTTCCCCATCGTCCGAATCCAAATTAAACATTACTTTTCTATTATTCATTGTTACGTTCTGCACTGAAGGTGGATACAGATAGATCCGAAAATTTCCTTTGTTTCCTGGTAAATTATTAATAACAAAGCTATCCAGATTATCCAGATATTCAAGAAACCATAGGATAAGACGTTGATTACTTTCGCAATAGTTTCGAAGCTGAAATGATCAGCGGTAGCAAACGAGTCGAAACATGCGCCCAACACGCCGCGTCCGATTCGATTATCACTCATAAAGTACCCCCTTCAAAAAGAAAGGGCTGACTCGAAGGTGGCCGAATCGAACGTGCCGAAGAACGAGCCTGAAACGGACCTAGCTGCGGCGGCGACTTGTTCTCGAGCTTCTTTGAGGCGGTACAAAAAAGAGGAGGAAAAAGGGGGAAAGGGGGAAATGTCTGGACGACAGAGAATTGGTATGCTTTGAGCGTGATCGATCAGCGAAACAGTTCGGTGATCCCGGTCGATTGACGCGAGGCAACGGAAACACGCGCCCCGAGGGGCGCTACAGCTCTTCTACGCGCGGAAATGTAAACGAAGGAGAGAAAACCTCCGTTGAAAATTATCTGGGCACAAGAAGCTCGGCAACGCGTTATTTTCTCGCTTTGTCTCCCGGGTTATCGGCGGTTTCATTTTGTT